GAACCAAACTTTCCAAAAAGCCAAACTACAGAAAATGATATAGTTAATATATTAAACTTTATGAAAACCTTTCTGGAACACTGTACATGCATTGTTGAACATTGAAATAGAGTTGAAAAAGAGGCGCAGCCTTGTGGTGACAGTTTAAAGAGCACTTTAGGACTATAGAAGAAGTAGTTGGTAAAAGCCAAGGTTTTTCATTAAGTAAACAACAAAGTTAGATATATTAGTTCTATATAACTATAAAACCTATAAAGAACACCCATAAGGGTTAAGAACTCTTAAAAGCTAAAAGTTGGTTCATCTAGCACTTTTACTTTTTCTTCAAAAAAAATTTTGTAAAAGTAGGTAATTCAGTTTATCTTCTCCTAAAGATCGATATGTAAAATCACCAAAACAGTTAGCAATGTTTATTTTCTAAATAAGATTGTTTATGATGTAGATCAGAAATAATACAGCAATACAAATATAACTATACATATGCCTCGAGTCACTGAAAACCTGTTAAACACTGCCTCCAAACTAACCAGTATTCTATATCAACCCTTTACAATAAAGTCAAAGTTTTTTTTTTTCTTATTGGTTTTTTGTTTAAATAATCTAAGTAAATAGGAAGATAGTAGAGTAATTTTTTTTTTTTGCTTTCACTAAGGCCATTAGTTATTGATAGCTACTGTCTTTATTGTGAATTCAATTATGATTACATAACTTGTACAAGATTACTCCTATACTATACTAACAGATAGCATACAAGTTCTTATACATCTAATTAGATGCTGTTTAATCTAACTCTAACCTCTCTGTCTATACATCTGTCAAGCTGTTATATATTTTAGAGTATGTCACCTGACTGTAGGGCTCCAGAAAGCCCTTTTGCTAACTAACTTCTTATATTTAATCTTTGCTAACAGGGCTCACTCTTGTAAAGTTTACTCAGATTCTAGTATCAACTTCATAGTATATTTCTAGTACTTGTAATATACTCCTATTTCTGATCTCAGACTCCTAATCCAAATAGTCTAATAGGACTATGACCTGTCTCTAGTATCTCAGAGTCTGCTCTTTAAAGTCCTTTTTCTCTGGTTCAAGACTTCTGACAGTTTGTTTGGTAATATCTCTTATCTGAGGTTCTTGTCTATTTGATTTCTTCTACATTAGTATCTGTTTTCTAGATCTAGCCTTTACAGTAGTACTGTTAAAAATCTGTGCTACCTCTTTACTTAGGTCTTCTCAAGTAGGTTCTAGCTTCTCAGTTCATGAGTTTATATAGTCATGAGAACTTATCTTATGTTTGTACTATCTGATGTCAGTTTGCATTCTTTTGTATAACTCCTACATTGTACAAATATTCATGACCTGCCAGTCAAGCTAGTGTAACTATGTTACAGATATCTTATTCCAACTAATCAACAGAATGCTGTCATCATAATATCACCTATATATTATATAAGTGATTATCTAAATTTTTACTATCAGTAGTATTTGAACTCACTATCTACCACTTGGAGAGTTGACAACTTATCCACTTCACTAAGTCATTACATCTTTTTTAGTAAAGTAATTTCTATTTAGTATAATTTATAATTTTTATAAGTCTAACACAGGCTTATAATTATGATTGTCTAATATCTGTGAATTGCAAGTTTCATATCCAACACAGACTTAAAATCATGATCATTTGATTTTTTGTGAATTGCAAGTTTTACATTTTTTTTTTTTCTCATTTTTTCTTTATACTCTTTTATTTTTTGTTTTGTATCTTTTATCATTTACTCCTATATTTCTGTTTTTTTTATATATAAATTTTTTTTTGTTTTTTTGCTTCTCTATGAGAAGATGTCATTAAATTGGTAATATCCTATTGTAGAATAGCAGTCAGATGAGCAGTCTATCTCTGTTTGAGGTAGTGTAACAGGTTATACTTAGGTACCAATAAGGTAGTCAAATAATGCTAGATTTAAGTATTAGAAAAATTCTTTGTAATTTGTATAGTATTAAGAATTCTAATAAAGTACTAGTGTAACTGTTTAAGTTAAAAAAAAATGTTTAATATCTTTTTATATTAACTATTTGACTAATAAAATTACTTTTTATTCAAATAATCCAAATGATATAATGATCAAATGACCTAAGTTATTTATATTTTGAATAAATGACCAGGTTATATATTATTTCTGATTACAGATATCCTAATCTAATCATTGATAATAGTTATTATAATATAAAAATTACATAGATAATTATTTAAAATTTTACTATTGAGAAGATTTGAATATCCAAACTACCACTTAAGAGGTTAACAACCTGATCATTTCATTAGGTTGTTACACTTCTTAAGATTCTTTTATCTATCTACTATATAATATAATTATTAGTTAACTAATAACTAATAACTAATAATAAATATAATATATAAAATATAATAATAAATATATATAACTATTAATACTATTATATACTATGTTATGCTAAAAATCTACTTTGTAACACTATTTTATCTCTTACAATAACCCATTATAAAAAAAATAAATAAAAACTAACTTCTTTTAATTAATAAATAAATAAAATTAAATTTTATTATGATTAAATTTGATTGATTAATTACATATGATTTTTAAAACCAAAAGATCTAAAATCATGTGATCAACATTTACATATTATACAAGATGCAATCTACACTGTCTATTTTTGATAAAATCTCTAACTGTATTTATGATAATATTTTTATAATAATATAATAACATGAAAATATTAAAAATTATTCCACAGCATGACATCATCAGTAAAAATTTTCAATCAGAAATGTTACGGAACAGGAGGGAATGTGCCTGATCCAAAGTGAATCCCACATACGGTGTGATCAATTAAAACTAAAATTATTTATTTGGTTTTAATTGATCACACCGTGTGTGGGATTCACTTTGGATCGGGTACGTTCCCTCCTGTTATGTTACGAGGAATATCTATTACTTATACGACAAATAGTGAAATTCGCTATGATCATCACATGAGGGTGAAATCCGCTTTTATATAATAAAAACATAATAAAACGCAGATTTCATCCTAACCCGATCTACGTACAAAGCGGATTTCATTATTTCGCAACTCAGGTTTTACCCTGTTCTAATATTATTATCATGATTAATCATGATGAATTGGCAATATCACATAATTTTCGAAACTTTTTTGGGTGGCGATTTTCCCCGGTTGAGATAATACTGTAAGTGCTGCTAAAAAAAGGCACTTCGGGTTTTTAAATATATTATTGATGACTGATCCTTCACCCGGTGTGCAACATATAAAAAATTATTTTACAATACCAGATCATTCCGATACATGTTATGATTATAATCCAACACCATTTTTATTATAATAAAATGGTGTTGGATTATAATCATAACACGCGGAATGATCTGGTATTATAAAATAACTTTTTTATATGTTGCACATAGTGATGGGACTTTCGAGTTTTTAGTTAATAATAAAAACATTAATAACTAATTAATAAGTTCGATCATTGTTAATAATTCCTATGCGATCACATTAAAAATTGCATATTAAACAATTGTATGTAATGACATCAAGCTTTTCAATACATAGATAAATTGACTTTTGGTTATTATAATGTTTTTATATAGTTTTAAATCAATTTACTAAGTCATACATTATTAAGTAGTTTTTAGTTAATAACTCGGCCAAATGTTAACAATTAATTATTAATAATTTGAGAGGTTCCATCACTAGTTGCATACAGGGTGAAGGTAGGGTTGTTAATGGAGTGGCATACTCCGGAGCGAGCCCAACCCAAGTTGGAGTGGGTTAAAGATATGCCTAAAAATCTGGAGTGAACTGGAGCAGCTCTAAGCAAGCCTGGAATGGCTCCGGAGTGAGCCCAACCCAAGCTGGAGTGGGTCGAAGAGTTGCTTAACCCAACCCAAGCTGGAGTGGGTCGAGGAGTTGCTTAACCCAACCCAACCCATTAACAACCCTAGGATTAGCCGTGTAACATCGATGTTTCCTCCTGTTTGATTTAGCCGATAACACATCGCGCTTTAAATTAATTAATTATATGGCGTACCGGAGGTTTGTTATATAATTTAAATCCCGACGTGCATCGATCAGAAGGCTGAATCAGATAAATACTCAACAATATACTTAAACACTCGAGGTGCCCTTTTCCCTTGACAACACTCATACTGTACTATACTTGGAAAGGCAAATCAAGAATTCATTCTTGCATGTGGTTTCTTTTATGCCTTGCTTGAACAATTATAATTATAAGTAATAAGGTTTAACGCTACTGCAAGCTGCAATAAATCTTGAAATAGGAATTGGCAACTGGTCTTATTTTTGATGGCGCTTTTTCTTTGGACAGATTATAAATACTAGGGTAAAATACGCGTTTACAACAAAGAATAATGAAAGATTGCCTTCTTTATGTATTTATTTTACATAATATATAACAATGTATATAATGGTAACAATTACATTTGTATTTTGCAATATTAATGCCGATATATATATATACATACAGTTGTCCCCGTTAATAATCTCACAGGACCAAGCAACTTTGTTAATATGGCATGAAATTTATTTCATGAAAATGGTGATAATAAAATTGATGATAATAAAATTGATGTTTGCGGGTGAAACAATATCAATATTCCGTCGCGTGTTGATGAATTTGTTACACGGGATGAAGTGAATCTATCAAGATGGTGGAAACAATAATAGTTGATCATATCTCCATTCAGAATCAATATTAGGCCATCCATATATAAGCCTCTCAGCTTCTTTCTCATTAATAGCGTTAACGATATTAATTGCCTTAACAAGAATTAAATCCTGTGCGTTTCTTACAAATATTTTAACAATAATTTTATGAGAGACTTCAATATCCACATCTGAATATCGAGTTAATGGAGGGGTATCGTTGGACATGCTCACGTTTAAAGGATGTTTTGAATCAATTAGACTCGTATCCAATTTCATTTCTATAGAATATTCGTTCTCAGTGTCCGGAATCCGCAATAGATTTTCATTTGGCACTTTACTCGTGATAATAGATCTTTCAACAATTTGATCCTGACGTTTTACTTTTAATAGGTGACATTCTCTAAGTTCAACAAAAATCTTTTTAATAAATATTTTCGGATCATGAATAACAAGTTTGATTGGAACTAGTATCAAACTTCCTTTTTTAAAAGTAGTCTGCCTGAAGGTTATTTGGCATTCAAGTGAATCATTAGACTTCGTTAACGTTACTGGTTGAGGTGCTGTGTTTAATGGTAAATTCCAGCGCATAATTGGACACCGAATTTCTACAACTTTTGAAGATTTTTGTAGGAATTTGTATGGCGGTATATGTCGAGAAATTACAGCTTTGATATAATATGAGATCTTTCCGACTGCACTTAAGGAATTTATTGAAGTAATCGAGGAGAATGCGTTGTTGGGAATTAAAAATTCAAATGGCAAATCTAAATTTGTAATTTCACCAAAACGTTTCATTTTAATCTGTTCATGATCCGCTGTCTGTGGTGTCAAAATTGTCATTAAATTTCCTCTTGTGGTTTTAATGGCGGAAAGTTTGTGATGCTGTATCGACTCTGCCGACCAGACACGAGCACCATATTCGAACAATGTTTTGAACCCAGAATGAATGTTTTGACCATCGTTCCATTCAACCATGATTTTTCCTTTAAAAAAAATATCGACACTATAAGCTAATAGTGGTTTTGTTTTTTTATAACGAAGGTGAAAGTTTCCTTGGATTGTCGATGGTTGAACACCGAGGTATCCTTGTTGAAACGTTTGATCTCTTAAAGAGTAAGAGAAATAGGCTCTCTTACTTTTATGTTTGTATGTACACCGTGGAGGCGTCATTACATGTATCGTATCAGTGAATTCTTTCATTTCTTTTTGAACTCCGGACATAACAAACTTTTTTATAACGAAACTTTTTTAAAAAAAATTCGAATTCGTTATAGGAGCATAATAAATTACTCTATAAGGAACCTTCATAAATTTTTTTTATTATAAGAACCGTCAGTTCGTTATAAAGAGAGTTGACTGTATTTGTCCTAGAGTTCAAGAAAAGTCTAACCGTTAATTATAAATACCATTATCAAAGATTCATATAATGCAGGCAGTTGTACTCCATCTCGGAACACAATGGAAATCTTATCATATTTTCTCTTATCGATGGTACACAAGGGCATGTTGCTTATCGTTATCACAAATTTTGTCATGTGACAATTACAGTCAGGGTGCAACGAGGCATTTACGTTTTCGACCAATCAGAGAGCAAGATCAGGTGTAACGTGACGATCAAAACAACGATCATTCTTTTTTGTAAAGTCACATTTATCTCGAAAATTCGACTAAGAAACCGCCTTTGATGCACTAACAAAATAATTCCTTGCAAAATTTTAGTATCATGTCACCTAATAATACTAATGCCAGCCCTAGCTGAGATGTCACATTTTAAACGAAGGTTCATGTAAATTGGTGCGAATAATCCCAACCAATAGAAACTTGGGGGGGAAATTAGTAAATGCGAAACGTATGTGATTGTATGATTATATAATGCGATGTGTCATAAAAAACCGGGCAAATCGTCACCCAAAAAAGGAAATTACTACCGACACAGCCTCATCGGCCTTATCGACATAGCTATGACCAACATTAACATCATGGCCAGCATTATCATTATAATTAAGATTAATAAATTGGTACGTATTGCGACTGTCAAGTTTAATAATTTATTGTTTACCGAATTCAGCCCTGACGGCGACAAATATGATACATAATTAAATTTTACTTCGTATAATAGTATATATGTTTCTGATCTTAGGGCTGAATCATATATAACGTGGTGAAATTTTCAAAATATGAACATATCGGTATCAGTATATAGACTGCCCTAGTGTTACACCTAAAACAGCTTCAATGTATTTTGGGTTGTACCTGATTGATTTGACCAGATGACAATGTTTTTTAGGTAGGTAATTACTAAATTTTATTCCTTAAACCGTCTAGACTACAATCCAATATAATTTGGTAGCTCAATCACAGATCAATCATGATTTAAGCATACACTAGCCGGTTTAAGGGATAAAAGTGTTTACACTAATACAGTAATAAAGAACTGAGTGTTTAAACACCACTTAAGTAAACTTATTCGAATACGTAATATAAAAAATAATAAAAAGGTGCCTTAGCAGTATACATACATGTGAGGGTAATGTAATTGGACATATACTATACTGGTTATGTAAGAGGTTATGTTTAAAATGGGCATGGGCGTTATTTCGAAATCGGGATTCCTTAAAATGGTATGTTTTGTTTTAGAATAGTGCTTGCGGGAGTTCTGAAATTAAGGATTAGAATCGTTTTTCTATTTAAGATTGTTTTACACTTTTGAGTCAAATTATAATTTTTAATACTGACTAAATTTACAATTAACATTAAAAAAGTTGTTTCTATTTAAAATAATATACATCTTATATAATAATATATATATATGGGGGTGAGTCAATAGAAACGCACTAAATCTTTTTTAGTGAAATATTTTTGCAACTTTAAACAAAGATAACTTGACAAGAAATTATTCAAATTTAATAAAAA